TCTGCTCCCCGGCGCCTGGAGGGGTCGCCGCGGGTGGGGCAGGGGCGGGAGGAGCGTCTTCCTCGCCTGAGCCCCGCGACTGTCCCGGGGCGCCTCGCGGAGACGGGGTGACTGGGCGCGAGTTCTCAGCCTGGGATTCCAGGACAACCCAAAGCCACTCCAGAGAGAAGTGAAAGGTTTATTGAGAAAGGGGGTGCAGAGCAGAGCCGGGGGCCCGAAGGCGGGGAGCAGCCAGAGATCAATCACTCAACGTGCGCCTGCTAACCTGTGTCGTCGCGGCGCCAGCCCGGTCCGCAGACGCCAGAAGCACCCCAGGGGCTCGTCTCTCCCTCTGGGACCCGCAGAGCGGCCTGTCCCGGTCCCGGCCCACACCTGCCCAGGGAGTCCTGCTGAAGCTTCTGGGCCTTGCAGTTCCAGCCGCCCACTGCACAGAGGGCGAACTCGGTCCCGCCCCCCCCACACCTCGCGCGAGGCCGGCTCTGCGGCCCCCACCCCGGCTGCGCGAGGACGCGGCGCTGCCGCCTCAGCTGGGCTGACTGACCTTGTGGGAGCCTTGGGGAGAGAAGATCCCCATCACTGAGGAGAAGAGAGTTGGAAAGACCCGGAGTGGGGGAAATAGATGGGGAGATGAGCAAGGGGAGGGAGGAAAGGGGAGAGGGGAGAAGAAAGTTGTGGCCGCTGTAGGAGAGGAGCTCAGGGATCCTCCCCCCCCCACACACACACACCCCACACACAATCCTGCCAGCTAGAGAAGGGTTTTATGGTGCTATGCTGAGGAGAAAGGGGAGAGGTTATTCCAAGTACATTTGGGGGGAGGGGGGTGTTTTTTCTCTTTACCTCCTTCTTAGCAGAGAGTTGTCTTCCTCCCTAAGCATGGGTCAGCTTCCAACGTGTCATCCCTTGTGCTTTCACTGTCATGAAATGTATCTGGGATATTGAGTGACAAGAAAGAAAAGACAGACAGTGACAGTGTAGGGAGGATGTGGAGAGAGTGAACCCCTGGGTGGGGTGTCTGGGAGAGTGTGTGGAGATGGAGTCAGTGAGGAGGGTGACAGACACAGTGAGGTGAGGGGGTGTGCTGGGCAAGACCTGCTTGTCCGTGATACTGGAGTTTCCAGAGTGAAATGTGGACGGTCAGGGATGAGGAGCAGGTATTGTCAGATCATGTGGAGTTTCCATTTTTAATTCTGAAGAAATTTCTACCCCAAGAAGTGGGTGATTTTTAAAAACATCTCTTCCAGGCTTTCCTCAGGGATCTGAGGTCTTGTCTCTCTCTGGTCCTGCTGGTCCGCCTTAGTCTGGATCACTCCGTACATCAGTGCACTTCTTCTTTTTTTTTTTTTTTAAGATTATTTATTTATTTGTTTATACAAGCACTGGGTACAGTCAGAAGCGCGGGAGGGTGAGAGAATTCACCAGAGCCAGAGCGGGGAGCAGAGCAGGCAGAAGGACCGAAGTACACTGCTGAGGGGAGCAGCGGGCAGCAGGAGGGGTCTGCGAGCCATGTGGGACCCTCCTCCGGTGGCCGGGGAGCAGCGGGGGATCGAACCGGCGCGGCAGAGGCCGGGGGCAGCTTCGCAACCCAGCGCTCAAGCTCTGCGCCACCAGGGAGGCCCATCAATGCACTTCTGACAAAAGCTGCACGCACCAGGCAAGATGAGGTCTGCGGACCATCCACACAGATCTGGCCTCCTCAGCCGGGGTCACTATGTCTTCTCTCCTTGCAGTCATCATTGTTCTTAAGTGTTGTGTCCAGTCTGTCCTTGAGTGGGATGTCACAGAGATAACCACTTAACATCAACTGGCAGGAATAGAATCTAGACCACCGTGTTCCCAGTGTGGATCGGATATGGACAAAGTGAACCCCCTGGGGGGCTGGGTAGAGAGACCAGGGATGGAGAGTCAGTGAGGGTGAGGTGAGGGGCTATGTGTTGGGGAAGACCTGCTGGTCCCTGACCCTGGAGGTTCCAGAGTGAAATATGGACCGTCAGGGATGAGGAGCAGGAGGAGAGGGTGCAGGTCGGTGGGGACCTGCTCCCTTGGCTTGTTCAGTCCTTCATCACAAATGGACTAGCATGGCCTTTTGGGGAATAAAATTTTATTTTATTTATTGTCCTTTAATTATTTCATTTATTGAACTTACTGACTTTATCTCTTGTGTTTCATTTATTATAATTCTTTTACTTATTGCTTTGTTTTTAATTTTTTTAGTTTTGTTTAATTTTATTTATTTTGACATACAACTGGGGTGTAGGCCAGAGCTTGGGGAGGGGATGAAAGGTTTACCAGAGACAGAGTGGGGAGCCAAACAGGCAGATCTTCTGAAATACTCTGCTGAGGAGAGCATCAGGCCAGACTGGAGAGGTTCTGCTGTGCCATGTGTGTCACCTCCCTGGCTCAACATGGAACTGAGGCCATCCCATGGGCCTTCACAGTGGCGGGAGATGGTAGTCACCAGGGAGCACCTATTTTAGTTCTTATATGATTTTATTTAAATAATTTTATTTATAGGATTTTAAGGATTTCTTTTTGAGTTTTTCATTCTTTTTATCTTAATGTTTTATTTTAGTTCATTTTCTTGTATTGGGTTTTCTCTCCTCACCCAAGTTACCTGGACCCACCAGACGCCGGGCCAGGGTGACGGGGCTGGGGTGAGTCCAGGGCAGGTGGGGGTGACCGGGCAGCTGCGGGGACTGCGTGGGCAGGGCCTCGGGGAGTCCCAGGGGCTTCTGGATCAGGGCAGCGGCGTCTGAGAGGCGCCCACCAGACACCCCAAAGACGAGGCAGAGAGTCCGGGAGGAGCAAACACGGCAGGTGACCCTGGAGAGAACAGCCCTGAGCCCGGGCGGGGCCGCTCTGAGGGGAGGGGGGAGGACGCGCCCCCCGGAGCAGAGCCGCCCCCCCCACCCTTAAAGTACAGCGCACCTGGGAGTCCTGACTGTCTTCCTTTAGTAAACTTTCTTTCTTTTTTTTTTTCTAACTTTCTTTCTTAAACAAAGCTTGTTTCTTTCTGCTTACTCAGGTAAAATGTCTGCGAATTCTTTTTCAAGGGTTGGTGGGACAAGAACCTATGGGAACTTAAGGGAAAATAACTGCACACGAGGGGCCTCCCTGGTGGCACAAGGGGGTGAAGCACTGCACTAGGAAGCAATCTGCAACCTCTGCAGCACAGTTTTGATCCCCGGTGGCCAGGGAGAAACCCACATCAGACAATCCACATGGAGCCGCAGACCTCTCCTGTCTTGCCTGCTGCTCCCCTCAGCAGTGTATTTCGTCAGTCTGCCTGTTCTGTTCCCCACTCTGTCTCTGGTGAATCCTCTCACTGCCCGCACCTCTGGCCTGTACCCCAGCTGTTGTGTGCATAAATACATAAATCTTAAAAAAAAAAAATAAGTGCACACGCTGGAGTTGGCTGCTGGGCTGGTCTGGCCTTTCCCGCAGAGCCTGCCCGCTCCAGAGAAGTGGGAACACGGCCACCACACCCCTTGTCTCTCCTCCCGGCAGATGCTCACTCTCGGGTGTGAGTCATCGCTCCAGCTCAATCCTCAGGAGAGACGGGGTTCAACTTCCCCGCGCCGCGCCCGCCCCGCCGAGATCCTTCCCCCGGCCCTGGCCCTCACAAGTGCAGTCACGGGACCCGCGCCCCCATGGTTTTGGAGTGGGGGGGACAGGGGAGCTGGGCTCCGAGCCCCCCGGGGACGCGGGTGAGGGCGGGACAGGCGGGGAGCAGCCCCCCAAGTCCAGCCCCGGGGCGTCCCCCCAAGCGCCCCCTGAGGGGGGGCCGGGAGGGCGGGGGCGCGCCTGGCGCAGGGGAGCCGCCTGGACGCGGGGCCGGCGGTCAGTGGGGAGGAAGGTTCTAGACGTTCTGCGGGGATTCTGCTCCCCGGCGCCTGGAGGGGTCGCCGCGGGTGGGGCAGGGGCGGGAGGAGCGTCTTCCTCGCCTGAGCCCCGCGACTGTCCGGGGCGCCTCGCGGAGACGGGGTGACTGGGCGCGAGTTCTCAGCCTGGGATTCCAGGACAGCCCAAAGCGGACTCTAGAAATGAAAGGTTATTGAGAAAGAGGATGCAGAGGCAGAGCCGGGGCCGTGCGCCGCAGCGGAGAAGCGCGCGATGGATAAAGTAACAACAAAATTAACGGGCCAAACCCTGTGCGTCCCGCCAGCCGGGGGGACAGCCCGGTCCGCAGACGCCAAAAGCACCCCAGGGGCTCATCTCTTCCTCTGGGACCCGCAGAGAGCCTTGTGGGGGTCCCAGCGCACCCCGCTCGGGAACCCGGTGCTGCGACCCGGGACCGGCGGCTCCAGCGGCCGCGTCCACAGGACGAGGGTCCCCCCAACCGCCCCCCCCTGCCCCGCGCGAGGCCGGCTCTGCGGCCCCCACCCCGGCTGCGCGAGGACGCGGCGCTGCCGCCTCAGCTGGGCTGACGGACCCTGGGGAGCCTTGGGGAGAGAAGATCCTCCTCACTGAGGAGGAAAGAGTTGGAAAGACCCGGAGTGGGGGAAATAGATGGGAGATGAGCAAGGGGAGGGAGGATGGGGGGGGGGAGAAGCGCACAGATCCCCCCCCCACCCCGCAACACACATATTCAATCCCACCCACTGAACAGCGGGCTTATGGTGCGATGCGGTGGAGAGAGGAGAGGGTTATTCAAAGTACATTTTTGTGGGTTTTTTCCTCTTACATCGTTGTTAATTTTTGCACAGTGTTTGATGTCCCACCTCTGCTGCAGTCCTGGTGCTTTTCCCACCACAGTAGCTCCCAAGATGCCTCACCGCAGTCCCTGTGCTCTTCCATCCCCGTTTCTGTTTTTTCTAAATAACTGTTATAATTAAATACTTGCAAAATGCTCCATAGCCGTTGGTGAGTCCTAGCCAAGGTCGTCCTTAGTAATGGGAGGAAGAGTGAACGTTGTCCACTCTAGTTATGTATAAATTCTACCCCAGGTGTCACGCCAGGCACAGGTGACTCTCACCAGTTGCTCTCTCACCCTCTCAGCAGGAATGGCCCTGGCATCTCACACCCTGTGTTTTCTTTTGCTGCTGCTGCTGCTGCTGCTGGAACAAGCCTGGAAGACTGTGGGCTGTGAGTGTCCTGGGGTCTCCTGGGGAGGAGGGTAGAGGGAGGACCTGAGCAGAGGGACTTGGGGCAGGTCTCAGCAGGGGGCGCCTGTTCCCTTCTCCTACAGAGAGCCAGGGTGTGGTCTGTGCTGACAGGCTCCCCAGGATGTTACACCCAGTTCTGCAAACTCAGCCTAAAGCGCCTTCTGTCCCCTTGGGCTCACAGGAGGCAGCTCACCCTCTGCCTGCCCAGTCCCACCTTCTCCAGGAGCTTTTCCTGAAACCTGGGACTATCATGACATTCCTCATGTCCTGTGGTGTCTTTTCTTTCTGTGGAAAGTCCTCTCAGTGAGATTACATATCACTGAAGATAGTAATCAGTGGAATCCTTCAGGGCACAGGAGGGTCCATGATGGCTTCAGAGTATTTAACCCCCAGAGAGTTCAAGGTGGAGCAGCACTGAGATGATGAGGGGCTGGAGGGAAACTCCTCCCTCTGCAGCAGGCCCTGCCCAGGGTCCCCAGGCCTCACCTGAGTTTTTCTCTCACAGCTGCTGCTCATTCTCTTTGCCTCAACCTCACTGTCACATCTCACTCCCCACCCGGGCAGCCCTGGTGTGCAGCCCAGGGCTCAGTGGATGGAAACCCTTTCCTTCAGTACAACTCTGACAGCCACAAGGTCACACCTCTGGGTCCCCTGGGGGAGAAGGTAAAGGCCACTGAGACATGGACAGACTTGACCCAGACACTGGGAGAAGTGGGGAGAGAGCTCAGGATGATCCTGCCTGACATCAGACTGGAGAAAACCAGGAACAAGGGTGAGTGTGGGGAAGCACAGGGGGCTGGGGACAGGGGCAAGAGGGGAGGGAGCAGACCAGCTGGGGAGGGGCTTTGTGTGAAAACTGAACACTGTCCCACCTTAGACACTCGTGAACCTGATGGGCAAGGAGGGGCAAGACCTGGAGAGAGGAACCCAGGCCCCTAACTGTGGAGACACACTGACCCCCACCCCCACTACTGGGGGAGATGGGGCAGCCACAGTGATGCCAGGTGTTTGTGTGTGGATGGCAGGTCCCCCACCCTGCAGGCCAAGCTGTCTTGTCAGCGGGAAGCACACAGAGGCACTGGTGCATCCTGGGAGTTCAGCATCAATGGACAGAGGGCCCTCCGCTTTGATGCCATGACCGGGAAGTGGTTGGCCATTGGCCCTGGAGCCAGCGGGGTCAGGGAGCAGTGGGAGCACAACCAGCAGCTGACAGAGTATTTGAGGAAGATCTCCAGGGGAGACTGCAGTCACTGGCTTCAGGAATTCCTACCACACTGGGAAGAAATGCTGAAGCCACAGGTAACTGAGCAGGGCAGGAGGATGTGGGAACTTAAGGCTCTGATCTTTCTTGGGGGGGGGGTGTGAGTGTGTGATTGAAATTGTGATGGGTGGATCCTCTGATTTTTTGTGGACTCCTGTCTGCAGTCAGAGACTCCATAGGATCCCACTTCCTCCTGTCCATCCCTCCTCCCAGTGCAGGTGCCCTTCCCCCATCCACCAAGGCTTTCTCTCTTCTGTTTTAGTTTTCCTTTAACCAGCTCAGAAGTCTCTTCTCATGAAGCCTTCACCATCTTCCCCAGACAGAACTGAACACCCCCAAGCTCCATTGTCCTCAAAAAGTCAATACCCAATAAACAAGTCAAACTGTGAGGATCAATGGACATTTGCTGTCTCCCGCAGCTGAAATCTGAGCTCCACGAGGACAGGGCACAACCTCTACTAACCTTCACATCCCAGGACCTGTAGAGTGGCTGTCCCATGAGTCAGGAATGTGGGGGTGACACGTGCTGCCTGGGAACACGGGTGCTGAGGGGGTACATTTTCAGATTTGACAGGGCTTTTGGTGTTTTCTTCTGGTTTCTTTTAGTGCCACCAACAAAGACCTCAGAGACCAACCAGTCCAAGTGGATGATGATTTTGATCTCCATCTCTTCCCTATTTGTCATCGTCGTCATTGGCAGCATCATCTGGATCAAGGTGAAGTCACATAGGAGGAGATCAGGCACCACTGGAGGTGAGCAGCAGGGGCTCAGGTTCTTGGGACCCGCGCAGTCTGGTCAGGACTCAGGAGAGATGTCCCGGGTCTCCCCCAGCCCTGTCCCCTGATCTACCTCCTCACAGAACCCTGTGCTTTCAGATTGGGGCTGGGCTTCCTCTTGCTGTTGGGGGGAGGAGGCCGGTACTAAGAGCAGGACCATTTGGTGAGGGGCAGGGCAGAGTCTCCATCCTGTGTGGGGCAGGTGCAGGTCTCCAAGGCCTGAGGTGGGTGCTGTTTCCCTCTAAGCCAGGGTCCCTCAGACCTTAGAGGAGAAGAAGTCTTTGCTCTGTAATCATAGTGTGATTTAGCTCAACAGTTTTCTTATTGATGTAATATTTGCTCCATTTTTTGGTGTTTCCTCTCTAGACCATGAGAATGTAAAAGGTCAACCCCTGATCATAAAAACTGAAGTTTGAAATAGGAGTCTACAATCTCCTGCAGAGGTGGGTTTGCAAGGAGTTATGAAGTTTTTTGGTTTTGAAGCTAATGAAGTTTGATCTTCATACCAGCCCTGCACTTGCAGGAGCCTTCCGGGGCCCTTGAAGAGCCCCCTGTGTGGACTTCTGTGACTTGGGCATTTTTTAAATTGGCAGAAGTGAGAACTTTGCCTCTCACCAGACAGGACTGCCGCTGTTCCTGATGCTCCTCCCACCGGACCTGCCTCTATGTCTGGGCAGCTGGAAATTCTGCTGGTATTTATTTTAATTGGTGAAGTGAAGAGCAGTTAGGAATATATTCTTATATATCGTGTATTGAGATATTTATAGTGTAGTAACAATGTGCAGATGTTAACATCTGTGTATTCACAGTCCCTCTGTGTGAAGGTGCAGAACCCACAGTTCATGGTGCTAATAAGCCTATGAAAAGGCGCTGGTCATTAGCCACCAGGGAATGCAGATCACACCATCCAGTGAGATGCTCCACATGCACCAAGGTTGGTGGCACCAAAAAAAGTATAAACATTTGAGACTCTCTTACTGCCGGCTATACAGGGATGTGAACAAGCTGTGGAACTAACATTTACTACACTGCCCATTTGACTAGAAGCATTGGGACTCAAATGCTTTGTTAAACAGCTATCCAAAGTTTAAACTATGCTTCACTTCTGTGTCATACATACTATGGAACAAACTTTTTTCCTACGCATTAGCAAAGAGTCGTATTCCTTCCTAAGCATGGGTCACCTTCCAACATGTCATCCCTGTGCTTTCACTGCCATGAAATGTATGAGATTTTTTAATGACAAGAAAGAAAAGACAGACAGTGCCCAGTGCAGGGCGGATGTGGAGAGAGTGACCCTCCCGGGTGGCGGGGAAAGAGCATGGAGATGGAGTCAGTGAGGAGGGTGACAGTGTGAGGTGAGGGGTGTGTGCTGGGCAAGACCTGCTTCTCGATGACGCTGGAGATTGTAGAGTGAAATGTGGACGGTCAGGGATGAGGAGCAGGTATTGTCAGGTCATGTGGAGTTTCAGTTTCTAATTCTGAAGCAATTTCCACCCCAGGAAGGGGTGTTTTTTAAAAACATCTCATCCAGGCTTTCCTCAGGCATCTGTTTTAATCCAGCTCCAAATCTTCTGAAGCAGATTGTGGGGGTGAAATGGTCAATGTGTTTGGCATACTTATGGCATAGTTTGATATAGGAAGTTTACAGACCACCTGCTGAAAAGTCCTAGGATCTTTTTTGGAAACAGTTTGCCTGGTTGCGATGCCGGCTCTAGGGCTTTTGCGAAACATATTTATTGATGTGTAATTGGAATGACACCAGTGACAGGGCACCCGAGTGATCTGAAGCTCTGTAAACATAAAGGCTATTTTTTAGAACTTTTGAAGATTTAAAAGCCTAGATCCTAAGTTCAATGTTTGTTGTAAAATTTGGAAGGATATTTTAAATTTTGATATTGAAATTTTTAGTCCTAATGTTATAAGGCAGCCCCGATACAAAACGGGGTGCCTGACTGTGGGTCCTCACCCGCGCGCTTAAAAGGACTTATCAATGCTCTACTGCAGGCACACGCAAAAGGTTCATAAAAGGTTTATTTACAAGGGAAGGGGAAATGAGGAAATGTACAGCTCAGGGAGAAAAGTGGGAGACAAAGTTTTAAATGAGTCCTACAGATCCGCTGATCTGGAATCCCCAATGGCGCTCTGAGAGCTGCCCGCGAGCCAGGAGCCGTGAAGCCAGGAGGTGAGTGACAGAGCGAGAGACCCCAAGGCCCACATGTCTTTTTTTTTTTAAAAGATTTATTTTATTTATCTATCTATTTATCTATCTATCTATCTATCTATCTATCTATTTATTTATTTATTTATACAAGCACTGGGTATAGTCAGAAGTGCAGGAGAGTGAGAGATTCACCAGAGCCAGAGCGGGGAGCAGAGCAGGCAGAAGGACCGAAGTACACTGCTGAGGGGAGCAGCGGGCGGCAGGAGAGGTCTGCGTGCCATGTACGACCCTCCTCAGGTGGCTGGGAGCAGCAGGGGATCGAACCGGCACTGCAGAGGCTGGGGGCAGCTTCGCAACCCAGCGCTCAACCGCTGTGCCACCAGGGAGGCCCATCATGTGTCTGGTTTTTATACCCAACCTGGCTGCTTAACTCCATCCTCAGGTCGCAGCCACCCTCCCTTTGGTGGTGACGGGATTTGTCTTTCCCAATGTCTTGATGACTTTAGTCTGGAGTAGAAGTGGCGACCACAAAGCCTGTATGGGATTAGCTCAGGACATCCTTTCCCCTAAGACGTTAAAAATTTTCAAGCCAAAGTTTAAGATTTTTGTTTTTCACAAACCTTTTATCCTGTGTATATTTTTCTTCAATAAAAAAAGTAAACAAAAGCAAAATGTTTAGTTACCTGTAAATCATGTATGTGTGGCGGGCTGTCATTTCTAGTCAGTGTTCTGTAAATTTCCGACTATGTGAGAGTGAGAAAATCTAATGCACACATTATTATCATTACATACAAATAGACTATAAATATTAACTCTAGCAATTAAACAATTACAAGAATTATGCTTTATAGATAATTAATCAAGTGTGTCCATTTGTTTTTGGAGTTTGCCTTTTGAACACCGTATGCAAATCTGCACAAGAGCTAATGCTTCCCTTGGCCGCCCACTCCCCTGATCCTTTACCTCTCTCAGGGCTCACACATGAAACACCAGTTAGGTCTGAACCATTTTCATGTCCTTATTTCTTTTTTCTTTTGAATTGTTTCTATTATTTTGATTTTTTTTTTAAGATTTTGCTTATTTATTTTTGTGTGGAAGAACTGGTGCGTGGGTGGGGTTGAGAGGATTCACCAGAGACAGAGTGGGGAGCAGAACAGCAGGGTATACTGAACACACTGCTAAGGAGAGAAGCAGATGAGACAGGAGAGGTCTGCTGCGCCATATGTGGGTTAGCTCCCTGCTCTTGGATGGAACTCAGGCCCTCTCGGTGATAGCACTGAAACTCAACCCCTAGGCCACCAGGGAGGCCCCTTGAATTATTTTTTAATATGTTTCCCATGGTATAACAAGTGGCATCTTAGCCTCCTTAAAAAACAAGTCACTTGAGTATTTAGAAATCTAATTGGCTCTATTAAGTGACTCATTAGTCCAGCAGCACCCACCTAGTAAGCAGAAAGTCTCCAGAGATGTTGCACAAATGGATGGTTTTTCTAGTCAGAGATAAGCTGGGACAATATTATCAATAAAGATAAAGATTATCTCAGGCAAAGTCACCTTCCTCAAGTGGAGACAGGGGTTTCTTATCATGCAGATGACCTCACCATGCTTAGTTTAGAATTCCACTTTTGGGGGAGGCAGAAACTGCATTTAGGTTAGGTTTTGGTCTTGGCGGAACCAAGCATGGCCCCATCTTGAGCCTGTTGTGTTTCTAACAACCCAAATCTGTCCCTTCACCTCACTGTGCTATTATTATCATACAAATTACATGCAAATTATATCTTCATATTTTAAGCCCATCAAACAGGTTTATGATCAGTTATACAACTATCCTTGAAATGAGAAAGGCAATGTACAAATATGAATCACTAGATTATAATGAAGTTCCTGTAATGCTGTATGTCAGTTATACATAAAGGAAAATCATGAAGTAACTTTTGCAAAGCAAATCTGTACCATCATTCATGTTTGTGCAGTTACCTTTACCAGTGCTCCTTATGTCCTCCTGTGTATCATGGTACAACTTAAGACTTCAGTCTTAGGCCTAGGCTTGGTGTTTTATCAGTTTCAGGATGTCCAGAGCACTAACTTCCATGAAGCAGAAGACTTTTACTTAAAACAGAAACCAAAGGCACATAACTGATGGAGGAGAGAATAGAAAACCTAAAGGAGACATCACAAGACTAAAACCTGATTCACAAGGAGGTGGGGTGAAGGGACTAACGTGACCATTAAGCCAACAACAGAAACCAACATCCTTAGGCCCCAGTGCCTTATCACAAGGCATAAGGCCCAAGCAGGTATCAAACTGCTGTAGGAGTGTCTGGGACACAGACCTGAGGGTAAAGAGTAGAGATTGGGCCCATCCCTGAATATCCAGTCCCTTTCCGATTCTCATTGTTATCCAAAACCCAGCAACAAACAGGCCACTCCACAAAGGAGTGAGCCCCTCCCAAACAGAAACAGACTATCAGTGCAGTCTCTGCACTGGCACAGGGCAGCAGTCCGTCCCACCACCTGTGACTATGCGGGTGCTTCTTTTCACCA